TTGGACCTGCAGCCTGAGGAGATGAACTCCACATATCTCCAGAACCAGGCAGGATGACAGTTCTTATCTGGATGAAGGTCCAGCTCCTTTCCAGTCCTGTCTGCCATGAAACGTTCCTGTTTGATAAAGCTCTGATTTTGGCAGGAATCAGAAAGTTCTGGTGTGTTTCTCCTGAACGTCAGTCATCTTCTGGGTCATTTCAGGTCCGCTCATCTTTAACTCTGATTTAATCTGGACTTAAACTGTTCAGGGTGAATCTGGTTTCTTTCTCCACCAGTCAGCACTTTAACTTGTTCTGGACCTCAGTCGTCTGGGTCGCTCAGGTTTCCGGTTTTTGGACACTAATGGATCTCTGATGTTCTGAAAAAGCCCAGACTTTATCCAGGACCGGTTGGCCCATCCCTCCTATAAAGCGATTCTGTCTGAACGTCCTCTTACCCACTTTTCTCCTCCTTCAGCCCTGTTTAGGATGGAGGTGGGGGGGGTGTTCCTCTCTGCTGTCAGGACTTCATTGTTCAGACTAGTGACCTTCAGCTTGTTTGTTTGGTTACCATGGCGATCAGCCGCGTTAACGAAGGGATGAGTTGTGCTCAAACAAACGAGTCGTTGTGCTGCTCAGATCAGCTGATGCTCACCCAGACTTTCCTGCTTCTTAAAAATGTATCTTTATCCCCCAGAAAGACAAGAACTTTGAGAAGTTCTGATCTCAAAAACAAGTCTGGAAGTTTTCAGCAGGGATACATTGTTGCTTTTTGGGATAATCTGATCCTATAACATGTTTTCCAACTCTGAGAAGGAAGTCAGGAGCTCCTGTTTCCTGCTGAAAGATTACAGCAACGCTCCAAACACAACATTTCCTCCCAGAGCTGATCGGCTCGATCTCTGCAGCTTCCTGAAAGTGGGATGGAAAATATGATTTCATGGTTGGAAACAGAAAATCCAGCTTTTTTCTTTCTTTTTCTTTTTTTCCCTACCACTTGGAACAACAATTCCTGAGTGTTTCAGCTCCCCTATCGGGACGCTGTGCTGCTCAAAACATCAAATGTTAATAAATGAGATCAACCAAGGTCATAAGGTGTGATTCACCTTAATGTGGGAGTGTTGGCCTATTGGTTAGAACAGTGTACTTGTGCTATGAGAAGGCTGCAAGCATCCGTTCGATCCTTACAGCCTGCACTCTGGGTTCCTGAGCAAGACCATTAACCCCACACTACTCCCTGGGTGCCGCACAATGGCAGCCTACTGCTCCCCGAGGGGATGGGGATGTCACGCTTATCCTAAGCGGGGTCACGAGGGGTGCTGGCGCCTATCTCCAGCTGTCTATGGGTGAGAGGCGGGGTTAGCCAGGGGTTCGCCAGTCCATCGCAGGGCAACACAGAGACAAACAGGACAAACAGCCATTAACACACAAACTCACACCTAAGGGGAATTTAGAGAAGCCCATTACCTAACAGTCAGGTTTTTGGACTGTGGGAGGAAGCTGGAGTACCCGGAGAGAACCCACGCATGCTCAGAGAGAACATGCAAACTCCATGCACAAAGACTTTTTTTTTTTTTTTAAGGTTTTTACGTCACTAGTGGCTCGTTTTTTGGACAGCAGGGTGACAGGAAAGGGGGTATGTAATCACAAAAGGAGAGAGACATGCAGCAAAGGACCACAGGCCTGATCCGAACCCAGGTCGGCCGCGCTAAAGGCCACCGTACATGGGTCGTATGCGCTAACCGCTGCACCACCGAAGCACGCCCACCCACCTTCTTGCTGCAAGACCACTCATTGCTGCCCAATGGGAGATTGATAAAGTTGAACTATTATAACCCTAACATGAGGGGGTGGGCTTTTTTCTCTATGTTTAAGACTTTCTGGGTTTATCAGACAATATTGAAATTTAGAAAATGTATATTTAATTTCTTTCGTCATCTTCTGCAGGCCAGTTAGTTATACGTCAGTCTGAACACCTAAATTTGGCCAATCATATATCAACGGTCATCTGTCAATCAAAATTTTTCGGTCATAGCATCTTGATATTATATGTCGCAGCTAATATACGCATCGGTTGAAATAAGAAATAAGAATCATTTCCTTTCCCATTGGAAAGGACCTCCGACACTAAACTCTCCTCCTCTTGCATGTTTCCTCTGTCCATAGCGTTCCTTGACAGTGTCGTTTCTAAGTCACCAATTTAGTGCTACTTGGTCCCAATGGAATTTCCCATTGGGAACCTACTAGCACTAAGTTGCTAACTGGTTAGCAAGATGCTTCCAACAAACTGGGCACAACCAAACTTGCTTTGGAACCTTCCGCCTCAACAATCCCGCCCCCTTGATAAACGACCAATCACATTTATTTTAGTCACTCGTGTAAAGTTGTGCTCATGAGAATTCGGAAATGCAATGGTTGGAACAGCTGCTTCCATACGACTTTAAGTAGTCAAATAAATGTACTTAGTTACTTTCTATAACAGCCCAGCTCCAACCCTTAAATCCACAGAAGAAAAGCTCCTCTGACAGTTGTTGTGTTTAAATGTAGCAGGTTATTTTTAATTCCTGCAGCAGGTGTAAGTGCTCTGAGTAAACTGCTTGTAAACGTTCACAGGTGTCATTTACACCTTTTCTCTCCTGCCTCCAGCACAACAGATTTAGGAGAGTTTCAGAGAGAAACTTCTGTTCAACAACCAAGAGTTTATTCTGTTCCGGTTAGCCCAGATTTTTTTATTTTTATATCTAATCAGCAGAACTCTAAGCAGCCGAGGAGACTTTCTAGGAGATCAGAGCAGATTGTTTTGGTTTCAGCGGTCAGAGTGACTTTACGTGTTTTCATCTGTAACCAATCTAAATGATTGTTTTTTTATGAGGCGGTTTCAGGGTTTGTTGCTCCCTCCTTAATGATCTGCCGCTCGTGGGGGAGCTGATCCATCTGAGGATCAGATTTAAGATGAAGGCGACATAGACTGCACCTCCTTAACCTTAAGTTCAACCATGCTGTAAAAAAAGACCAAATATAAAAGATTCCAAATGATCTGACAAACCTCCTTTCATTGCTTCCGGGTTCTTCAGGCTTAGATTGAGGAAATCAAGACATAGCAGAACCATTGTGTTAAAGATGTCATCATGAGGACCAAGATGAGCAGACGTTCGTAATGGATGCTCCCTCTGGTTGAGGGAACATCTGAGGCTCTAGCCGACAGGAGGTCACGCCATGAACGCTCGCTGACCTCTGCAGACCTGCAGGGAACCACACTCTGCTTCTCTGCTCTGCCTGGACGTCCTCCTCCAGATCCCTCTATGTGTGCATGTGTTTCCCATTTAGGGTGACCTCATTCCTCACCCCAGGATGACATCATCCTGCTGAAGACTTGATCGCTGCTGCTTTTCTGCACAATGACAGAAACAATCAAAGTGTTCTGATGTCTGGAAAATAAAGGGAAGTTTTATTGTAGCTCAGCAGCAGCAGAAAGTGGGTCACTGATGTCAGAGGGAGTCTTCCTGAAAACAATCAGGAACAGTTCCAGCGCTCATTAACTTGTTCAGCAGATTTCCTACAGTCTGAGTTCATGGCTGGATTAAAAAGCTGGGAGTAAATTCTGTAGGTCCAGCAGCCTAAAGATAAAACATCCATCAATATGTGTGAACAGACCTGGAAGGTCTCGCCTCTACAGAACAGCATCAGATGATTTTCTGAATCTACATCTAGAAAACCTGAAAATGGATTTTCAGATGTTCACCACTGCTGACCTTCTTTGTCCTCCAGGGGCGCATTTAGAAGATTTGGGGCCCTAGGCAAAGACAGACATGGGGCCCTCTGAATTGAGAAGACAACACATAAAACAGACCCATTATAGAGATACAGAAATTTAATAGAATAGACATACATTATTTGTTCTAGTTTTTTTTCCCTCTCTTCTTGTCCCTTTTCTTGTTGTTTTCCTCTCTGTTTTGTACTCAGCTGACTTTTCATGCTGTCTCTAAAGGAATTAAAGATTATTTCAAGCACTAAGCTCACTTAGCTG